CCAACACTGAATTAACAATGATAATGTGGTAGAGAACCATCTACAGGCAAGGCGCAAGAAGTCCAGTAGCATAAAAGGTGACCTGATATAAAGTATTCTACCTATTAGAAAAAAATCCAGTAAAATACAATCTAAAAAAATTTAGAGTTTAAGTACACAAAAAGAACACAGGCAATGCAGAAGCAGATTAAAAGAAAAAAACAAAACCAACAGTTGAAGCAGAGGAAGTCTATATATAGCAGCAGATTTAGAAAAGTCAGAGGTAAGAGGAGCTGGGTTGTGAAGTCACTAGAGTAGTAAGCACTAGGTGTCCACTTGACAAATGGGTTGGGTTACCAGAGCCACTGCTGAGTTAGTGAAATTACTGCTGATCCACTACAATTGCTGTTGAATCCAAAATAGCAGTGCCTATTGCTTTGCTTCTCCATGAGAACTATTTGGCTCTTGATATGTCTTCTTTGTTTCCTTACATTCTTGTCTTTATCTACTATAAACCATATCACTGGGTATAACCTGCAGGCACCTTTCCTTTCTTGCCACCTGAAGTCACAAATTATAATGAACTCCTCAGTATTCTCCGGTTTCGCACACGTTCAGCTTCTGTAAGTGTCTTATACTGCCTGACCCTGAACTGAAAACCTGGTATCAGTCTCCCTAACTCTGACCTTCAAGTAGAGGAGATATGATACTGTCATTTATTTATCAAATATTTATTAAAGAATTAATTGTATTTCAGGAGCTTTGCTCTGGGGAGGGTATAATTCATGTTTAATACAGGAAACAAACAAATTGTTATAATTAATGATCTGTAATGTGCTATAATAGATAATGAATTTAAGGCTGTGACATCAGCTGTAAGGTAGATAACCCTTCTTTAGCGAGTTGAGACGCGGTTAATAGAAGTCATCACATTTATGGTTGATCTAAATTCAACATGTAGTAAATAAGGAATAAAAACAGACTTTTGGGCAGAGGGATATTCAGAGTTATGGGGTTATAAAAGGGTCATGTCCTATTTGAAGAATGATGGAAAACTGGCTGGTAAAGAAGTGATGACACTAAGAAAAACATAGATTTCCAGTTACTTTAATCTGGCTGAATGATACAGCTGTGCTACAAAACAGGTATTTTAGGTCATTTGTACAAAAGTTATTTTGATTGTCAAGTGTTTCATACTCCCTGTTACTTGATAGCTGGCTATGTAGTTAGCCAAAGAGTGTCACCTTTTTTTTCTGTAATTAAAATCAAATGAACTGGTTCACATTGGTGGATATGATATTTTCATGTTTATATTAAACATGTTTATCTTGAACATTATGTCTTAAGACCTCTTATAGACTTAACTGGTTTTATTTGACTATATATGAAGTAATATGTTAATGGTTTTGATTAAATATTTCAAATGTTACAGAGAAACATACTGCTAAATATGACCTTTTGTGCCTTGAGATGTTGGATGGAGGCTCCAAAGAGAAGTCCCAGATAATCTGTTATCTGAATGTCCCTAAACTGATTCTGAGATCAGCAGCCCTACACCCACCTCCAGGTTACATAAGGGGAGAGAGACTAACCAAGAAAGACTGATAGTGAGAATTTCTTGGGGGAGTTTGGTTGGAATGCTATGAGTTTAGAGGTGTGTGTCCATTTTTTCCACTCCTCAACCTGACCTTCATCTCCAAACAAATGGGGCAAGAGGGATTTGAAGAGAATGGCTCTGAGAAGTCTGTCCTCTGGAATTCAGAGGAAACAGAAGCCTACAACTGAGACTGGACCCCCCGTAGAAAAGTCTAAAGGACATAAATGGTTAAAACTTCCCCTGATAATAGAACAAGAGGGAAGA